CCACCTTAGAGGCTATTTTCCAACAAGCCAAGTTAGTTTTACGGTAGGGATTTTAAAATTTCCAGCGCTTCCGAAGAGATTTTGGAGGTGCGCTTTTACCTTGGTTACTTGGCGCCTTAAATGGCGATTCTTTTGACGTAGATTGTGAATTGACTGTTTATCCACGCCCGTAGTTCTCATGCCTAGGTGGGTATTATATTTGTCGGGGTGGGGTGTGCGATAGACTTATCTCCACGTGATGCACCCTGGGCAACGTATACTCAAACGGCACAAAAGTCTATTAACCGGCAGTTGACTTCTGACTTCAAACTACCACGACCCCCCTGGTTGTCATATTCGACCCCTTACACAGTACTCACCTTACCTTTTTCTCTACCATTGTGGCTGTCTGCCTCTTTTACATCTGTGAATCGCTCTTCTGTTCCCCACCCCTCGACTTTCTGCTACTTTGATGAACCTTCCTTCTGTGAAGCCCGAATTCACCTAAATGGCTAATGATATCTATCAAAACGCCTGCCATTTGAAATAAATAAATATAAATATTTGTCGGGGTGTGCGATAGACTTACCCTCACGTGATGCACCCTGGGCAACGTATACTCATACGTCGAAAAATTCTATTAGCCGGCAGTTGATTTATGAATTTAAACTACCATGACCCCACTGTATGTCATATTCGACCCCTTTCACAGTACTCATCTCATCTTTTTTCTAACTTTGTGTCAGTCTCTTTTACATCTTTGAAACACTCTTCTGTCCCCCCCCCTCTCAACTTTTTTCACTTTTATATTCCTTCCCCTCTGTGAAGCATGAAATCAACTAAAGGGCTAATGATAACTATCAAAACACCTGCCATTTGATATAACTAAATAAATATTATATCTGGCAAACGCAATTATGATGCAAATTAGGAATTTATTCAAACATGAGTTCATTATTTCTTTTAACGTTGGATTAGTTTCAACATCAGTGAGTTTGCTAATTATAATAATACACCAAAACCTTCTGAGATAGCATGAGAATGTCGATCCAACTTGAAATTTGTTTCGATTAATTTACATTAGCAATATTTATATTGATGATAAACAAAGTAAAACCGAAGTAATTTTCATGCAATTTCATGTTTTCCTCAAAAAATGAAATAGGAACTGATTTGCTCTACTGGGCACTTTTCACGATTTACTCGTTTTAAAAGGAGGGATTTTAATTCTGACACACGAAAAAATCATTTTTGACAAATACAGGGCAAATTGTCTTGAGTCAAAGCAAGAAACTGCATTAGAAAAGTAAGTATTACCAATGAGTCGTATTCACTCAAAATTAACTACAGCACTATCGCCATTAACTGTTACGACAATTGTAAGGTAACGAAACATTTGTCTTTCCTTTAGCTTAATACTTTATTTACTATTTGACTATAATGACCGTAAGAAGTTTGCCAATTGAGCTGGCAAATGAGACGCAATTTTTGACAGAGGGGATGGAAACCCTTCTTTCAAATTCAGGTGGTCGGTTATGAATTGCCGCATTTGCGTGATTTCTGTGGTTAACAGGACCTTTTTCAAGTAGGATAGGTTCTCTGTTTTAAAATTGACATTCAAGAGATGTTTCAACTCAATGACAATGAAAGTTCTCCCAGAAGCGTAGGATATTCAGTTGGAGGTTAAATGAATTACTCATACTAACATTGACAGGATGCAAACAGCATAACTAAGCAAGTTCCCTGTTTATGGAATAATACTAGCTTTCCGTAGATATTTAATAACTTTATTAGTGATGATAAAAACAATAGTAGGCCAATCACACCTGACCCAATCCCAAGAGTCGCATGTCACTCGATTTCCCAAATTCGAGGCATCACTCAACTATTAGCATAATACCTTAAATCACGATTTACAAAAGACTCGCTGAATACACCCAGCATCATTATTGCTACTGTAAAACGCAGTGTTACCATTCGCAAAAATTTATACTTATATGATGTATATTAAGATATACACTGTATACAATCTCTTGTTTTCTCACTCTCTAGAACAACTTTAAAAAGTGTGGGGGGAGGTCAAAAGGTCATATACGGGCTTAAAGCCTTGAGAGAGGTGGTAGTAATATTACAAATCAGGAGAAAAGAGCTTGAACAAAAGCAGGCTATTTCCTTTCCTTCTGTCTGTTGGAAATATTTGAGAATAAGGGGCTTTGGGGTAGAGAGACTGAAGGTAACTAGGGAAAAGAAGGAAGACACTTTGGAGAATAATTCTTTTGTTAAGAGAAGGTAAGTAGGGAAAAGAAGAGGAAATTTCTTGCATATAAAGCTGTCAAATTCAACCCCCGATGTCTTCCTTGCCATCCAGATTATTAACAGTTCGTGTAGTAGGTCGGGGTGGAAGACCAGAGAAAGTAGCTTCACCACTGTCTAATTCCACGGGTCCCCGAAGGTCTAACTTAATGGGTTGTTGTTGAGGCTGTTGGTGGACGAGACTGGGAGATTGAAAGGTGACAGTCGATCGACTGGGGGCTCTAGAGCGCGGCAGAGAACCAATGGAGGCTGATATTGTGGACTCTCCAGCTCCTGGGGTAAATCTTTGCGGACTTGGTGAGAAGTGGAAGGTTCTATACCCTCCTAGGGGACTCCTTTGAGCACCGAATGGACTACCAGGGGTGTCAATATATTCACCATATGGCGGTGATTGAGACTGCTGGAGATGACCTTGTTGTTGACCTTCTTCAACGTAGCACGAACAGGGATCTCCATTGTTGTGAGGATCATTAATGAAGGTACGGGAAGATGCGTTCATCATTCCATTGTTGGAATTTACAACACAACCATTTGAGGGGTTACCCAGAGCACTTGCGGACCGTGGGCCGTAACTCATACGACTAGCTGATCGATAACCTGAGCAAGTACCGTATGCGTAGCCAGGATGCGGGGAAAACACTAGCAGATTAAAACGAAAAGAAAATCAGTAGAATAGTGCATTTTTTAAATAAATTCAGCGAATGCAATGAAATACTTCATAATAGTAAACAAATTCCACTATACATAATTCTTGGGATATTTTCCTGTTGGGTTGCTTTTAGGATACATTGGAACTGGAGCGATAGAACTAGAGCCTTTATGAAAGCGCCAAGGAAAGAGTTAATAGTATTCCCCGTGAAGGAGATCCACCCCTCCCC